CCTCACTCTGGGAGCTGCTATAGGGCAAAAAATTCTGTAAGATACTTTATTTTGTTAAGAGGCATGGAGAGAGGTGGCTGTTCCAAGCTCAAGGTGTAGTCCAGAGTGTCCTTTGGGTGAATAAAAACCTGGCCACGGCAGTGACCTGTGACTTGGAGAACCAAGTCAGGTTCTCCCATCTCAGGCAGACAACTCAGGGTAACACTACGATAAAATGTTAATGCTCGCTACTGGAAAGGGAGACCCAGCTGACCAGGAAAAGGGTTAGGAGAAGTGAATTTAAGAGGCAAAACTGTTCTGCCAACAAAATGGGAGTACATGGAGAGAATGTGATGGTTTTCCTTTAATGATTTGCAAATTATTAACTACATATTACTAAGCAAACATCAGCTAAACAGTACATGCCCAATACCTAGCAAATAATGATACATAACCCCTGGACAAACCTGCCACACATCAGTTATTTAGAAGGTTATCATAAGCATTTAAAATTGTTTAATTTGGGGGACATAAATGGCAGTCTATAGAAATGCATAACATTTCTCTGCACTGCTGGCATCGTATAAAGACACTTGGAAAGTCTCAGGAAGAGCAACCACCGGTAGTTTAATGTCTCTGATCTTTTTCAGGGCTGTGCAAACTGCTCTAGGTAATTCAGTCCTTATTCTCTCGAGCCTCATCTCCAAGCTCAGATAATTTTCTTCCAATGGGTGAAAATTGCTGTTCCTCGGTACTGATAGCACTATGTTTAGAAGGACATTTATCAGCTGTTACCGCACTGTGGTACTTCAGTGCTTCTCCGTCGTTTCCCTCTACTTACTGCAGTGCCTCGGACCTTGCGAAGGGGTGACTGTCGGGGAAATCTTTAGCATGAAAACTGCTGCATTGTACCTACCTGCTACAGCCAGGCAGGAGCGGGACCGTACTTCTACCATGCTTACTGATCTTAATTTCTCTTTCCTTTTGTCTGACAGAAATACTGAAGCCTTTGGTATTCTTTGTTTTGCAGGACAAGAGAGGTTTGCATTTCAATTCGCAAATAACGCACAAATGGAAATAATGATCTTACCATTTTTCTGCTCATTTCACAGGTAGGAAGGGCTGAAGAACACAAAACCATACCACAAAATCATCCCTTGTGAGATTTCCTGTGCGATTTTTAGTCTAAAGGAGATCTTCTTTCCCACAAAATGACGGATGGAGAGGAACTTGGCAGCTCACAGAGCATTATACATATGAAAAATGCACTACTTGTGCCGTAGCTTCCCCAAAGGGTCATTTGTGTTTTTTGCAGTGCTCTTCTGGGCAGACCCAGAAGTGTGGGTGCAGTGTTTGACAGGATCTCCCTGCCCCGGGAGGGAGGCATCAGCAGGCTGGGGGCAGAGGGGGCTGGCAGTACCTAGCGCTGTCGTGGTGTCTTCCCTCCTGTCTCAGGCACCCTCTGGGCCGGTCTCCTACCAGCACCTTTGCTGCTCCTTGGTGGCACGCTGAGACTAGTGACCCCTGGATGGGTTTCCCCAAAGGACTGTGCCATTCCTGAGACTCATGTGTTTCTAATCCCTTTCTGAGCTGCTGAAATTTAACTTCGAAGTGAGTGGGAAATTTGGAGTTTTCATTACAAGGGCAATGAGATTAAAAAAAAAAAAAATTAAAAAAAACCACAATTGAAGTCCCTTTGAAACAGTATTAACTTCCTATGCTTGGGCCAAGTACTCGGTGATCCCGCTGCTTTAGTTGGAAAAATTCATTTGACTGGTGGAAAAGAGGGGAAATTTTTCTGCAGAAGTCAAGAAGATTAATGGAATTACGTTAGAGTTACAGCTCATTAAAAACAAACCCTCATCTGAAATTTTGACCTGTCTCAGTTTTTAATTTAGTCTCCCAATCAACAATGATTTAATACCTGTTTCTTTTCCACAGCTAGACAAAATACTTTCTGAGTTAGAGTAAAAAGAGTTAGGATTTTTCAAGCAAGTAAGTTGAAATCAAGAAAATTACTTTATCTAGTGAGGGATGTGTGTTTGTTTATGCTCTCTAAAGGTTTGAGAAAGCTAATACAGGAAAAATTTCTAAAAGTGGATCACAAGGATTCCAGATTAAAAGGTGCCACAGTTGTGGAGACTCTTGAAGTGATTGCCAGTGTGCCTGCGTGGCTCTGGAAACAGAACAGAGAGATTTCTGCAGTTCTGTGTGGTGCGGCTTTACCAGCCTCTGCCTGTGCTGGCCTACAGGACCTTCAGCTCCACTGTCAGCAGAGCTTCAGAACTGTCTTTTCTGCACTTAAGTCCTTATCATGTATTATGGTCTAATTTACACGTTTCATTATACTCCATGGTTTTAATTGTCCTGTAAAAGGAAATGTGGCTTTTATTGTTTGCTGTAAGTTCTGAACATGCTCTTGGTTGACATGGGAGGCTGCATCTTGAGTGAGGGTGTTTTAGGCTTCAGGTTTCCAAATATTCATAGAATCACAGAATGGTTTGGGTTGGAAGGGACCTTAAAGATCATCTAGTTCCAACCCCCCTGCCATGGGCAGGGACACCCTCCACTAGACCAGGTTACCCAAAGCCCCATCCAACCTGGCCTTGAACACTGCCAGGGAGGGGGCATCTACAAGCTCTCTGGGCAACCTGTTCCAGTGCCTCACCACCCTCATCATAAAAAATGTCTTCTTTTTGCATGATTTATTCAGTAATTGTGTGCTTTATATGTAGCTATAGATCTGTTGCACAATGGCTTTAAAAATGATTGTGGTTTGACATTTTGATTAGTGTGTCATTTTAATTGGATCCCTTCAGGGTAGATGAGAACTGGGGAGCCTTTGGAGCTACTTAGTTCAGCATTAGTTGGACTTTTTCAAAATAAGCCGGGAAATTAAAAGACTCAAATAATTAATTCTAAATTAATTAAAACTATAACTGGAAGGCATGGTCTGTTTGAGAAGGAACGACAGAGGCCAACAAAAACCTTGAGTCTGGACTCAGGCCGTGCTGTGATGGGCATCGAGTGAAGCCGGGTCAGCGGGCGGTGACGGAGCAGCATTCCCGCTGGGCTGGGCAGCCGCTTGCCCCTGCACATCCCGGCGCGGCAGCTCCACAGCTCCCCGCACCATCTGTCCCTGCTGCCTGGCGCGGGAGGAAGGCAGCGGCAGGATTAGTGTGCCCTGCAGTGGGCTTGCGCTTGCACCTGTTCACCTCGCTGCATACTGTATTTTAAACACGCCGTGAGCTGATGAGACCTCTGATGGTTGCCCTTAACTGCCGTCTCACTCCTTTAAACTTGAAGCATTTTTAATGAGCTGTAATGGACCTTTGTATGTGTTGCAGCTTTCTGTTAGCTCTTAATGACAGCGTTTCGGTCTGTTTGTTTTACGTTTGCACGGGCTAGGGAATCACGACCGCGTGTTGTGCAAATACTTGATTGCTAGGCAAGTTACCTAAGTAGTAAAATTAATTGCCATCTTACTTCATTGTGGGGCTTTTTATTATGTTTAATGTTCAGTTAGAGCTTTGTGGGCTGTAACCAGCAACATATGAATTGCCACTTCTCTGTGAAAGACACAAACCATGGTGGGTACCCTTCCTATCGCTCCCCTGTCCATGTTCCTGGGTCAGAACTATGCAAGGCGAGTTGCAAGCTGAAGTTTTGTCCTTGTTATATCCAGGGAGGCAAACTAAATTATGGAGATTGGGTGAAGGACACCTTTTTTTTTTCGGCAACCAAGCTGACATGGCAACATTTTTATTGTTTTGCTTTCAAACAGGAGCAAAAAGGCTCTTGCTGACAGTGCTGGGGTTAGCTCCATGTATCTGAAACCAGCAATTAGATACTACTTTGGATAGTCTTGTTACCAGACAACCAGTGTCATTAAAACTTTAATTTATCCTCTAAATGCTTATTATTCCCGTTCAACAGGTGAGGAGCTGAACTGCATGGACTTGAGCAACGCTGCAGGGCGAAGAGCGACTTGTGAGCAGGAGCCAGCCCGCTAAGCTGCTTTCTGTCTGCATTGAATTTGACAAACAGCTGGGCTCCGGCCGCAAGGTACCTGTGCTGGGATGCTGATGCTGTAGAGGGCTTGGTGATATCTGTGACATTACGTCCTGCTTGCTTCAACAAGCTGTTGGGACCATGCTCTGACTCCTGACAACATGTGGGCTGTTCCTCTCCAGAGCACAGGCAGCAGTGGCTCCCTCTGCCTCACTGGGAGCGTGGACACTATTTCAGTGTACCTCATCAACAATTTTCCTTGCAGCTAGAATGAAAGGTTTTATCAAGCTTAATGTTTGCACCATGCAGTCTAAGAAAATGACAGAATAATTCCCCATAGCTGTTGCTGATATG